TGATAACTCGGGAGGTAGGGCTAATCGATACGCGACCTCGCCTACTCGCTCGAGAAACTCGAACGGGCCGATGAACCGAGGGTGCAGCTTCCCTCTCTTTCCGAATCGCACAACTCCGCGAATCGGACGGACTCGGAGAAAGGCTGGCTCGCCAACCTCGAACTGAATGTCTCGTCGATGATGATCGGCGGAAGATTTCTGTCGACTCTGAGCTGTCCTGAGTCTCTGCTGGATCAACTCGACCTGATCTGTAATCTCCTCGATCAACTTGGGACCGAGTACTCGCCGCTCTCCAACGTCGTCCCAATAGAGAGGGGAACGACACTTGCGACCGTAAAGTGCCTCGTAAGGAGCCATCTGAATAGAAGAATGATAGTTGTTGTTATACGCAAACTCGGCGTACGGCAACAACGACTCCCACTTCGCACCCCTGTCAACAACCAAAGCGCGAAGCATATCCTCAAGCGTCTGAATAGTTCGCTCTGACTGACCGTCTGTCTCCGGATGGTAGGCTGAACTGAACTCAAGCTTCGTGCCCATCGCCTCATGCAACCTATGCCAGAATCGGCTGACGAATCTGGGATCTCTGTCTGATACGATAGTAACGGGCACTCCGTGGAGTCGGATGATCCCACGGGCATATATCTCCGCCAACTTATCCAAAGACATCCTCATCGAAACGGGTAAGAAATGCGCAACCTTAGTCAATCTTTCGACCACGACCCAGATAGCGTCGTGATGTTCAGACGACCTCGGCAATCCCGTAACGAAATCCATCGTGACTTCCTCCCATTTCCACTTCGGAATCGGCAGTGGCTGCAGGAGGCCAATCGGACTCTGATGCTCGGCTTTAACTTGCTGACAGGTAAGACATCTCTTGACAAACTCGGCGACGTCCTTCTTCATGCCTCGCCACCAGAACGACCCTTTCAGGTCGTGATACATTTTCGTGCTCCCGGGATGGGCTAGATAGGGTGCGGTATGGGCCTCTGATAAAATCTCCTTCCGCAACGCCTCAACTTTCGGGACCACGATCCTGCCCCTGAACTCTAGGGCACCATCGGCACCTAGCTGAAAACCCTCGACGCCTCCGACGCGAACCTTGGCCTCCATGACACGAACGAACTCGTCAGAAGCCTGTTCTCGCCGGATTCTCTCTCTCAGCGTCGGCTGAAGTTGCATGGCACTGACATTGGCACTGGTACTCCCCGAAACTGCTATGGGAAGTGCATTAATCGCCTGAAGTTGCATCCGGGCAAATTCCTGAATCAAAGGACTCTGCTGAGTAATGACGTACGTCAATTCACCCTTCACTTGTCGGCTTAGGGCATCTGCAACGACGTTCGCCTTTCCCGGGTGGTACTGA